AAAGTGGTGGACTGACCAACTAACTTTACCATCCTTAGAGCCACAATGCTGGTGTGGTTTAAAGAATTAACTTAAAAGACATCAAAATGGTGAAGGTTCTGTCACAGGCATAGCCTTACTACTAAGTCATAATTTTCATAATTTGAAGGGCAAGGCCATTTGGCCTTCAATTTAATAGATTTTCAGAGGGCACAAAGGCCACTTGACTGGGCACTAAGGCTGAGACAAGGGACATGATTTGTACATACAGTAGCTGATGTATACAGCCTGAGCAGTAAAGTTACAAACTAGAGTAAAGTGCAGACGCTGGTAGAATGGTTAAAGGGAAATGTGCAGAGATAGTGTAGTAACTGTGCACCTTTATTATAATTTGGATAGTAAATGGTGTTATATGTACACATTTAGACTCAAAGACAAACTACGATCTTGCTGATGTTGCCCGAAATCACTATTAGTGCATATTTAGCATATGCAATATTCAAATAGCAGAGAAAACATTGTACATTTCATTTAAGATTTTAACATTACAGCCTCTGAGTTTTCTTACAGCTTATTGACAGAGCCAAATGTCACATCCTTCAATCTGCTTATCCAGTAAAACTAAAGGAACCCTTAATGTAGCACCGCTAGCTTGACTGATGCACACTAAAATCAGATCAGATGGATGTGATGAGAGCACACCGCCAACTGAGGCCATGTAACTCCAACAGATATACAGGGCATCATGGTCAGATACCAGGGCAACAGTAAGTTGCTCTGTAAGTTTTATTACATGAGTATGAGTAAAAATATTGTTGGTGGTTTATAGTTCTTTATTGGCTCCTGACCTAACCTTTCACCACACTTCACTGAAATCCGTCAAGTCGTGTTTGAGGCAAACAGGACTGAAAACGTGACCTCACTGGCAGAGGTGACAAACACGCAAACAGTTGCCGTTATTACAGTGATCAGCATCATTTCCTCTTATTTATTGCGCTGTACCCTGGTCAGCCCTCTGCTCTCTCTCTCTCTCTATGGCCTCTGACTTGGACCTAGTGAAGTAAGAACAGGCCTGCCTCCCATCTCTGTGACACCTCATAAACATTGACAACTGCTCTTAACTTGCAACTAATGGCTGGCCTGCAATGCGAACGCCTGACCGGGAACTTTTAATTAAAACTTTCCCATGAGCAGCCAATGGGATGACGCACCTGCTAATGATGACATGATGTCACTCTGTAGCCACAGCTACTGGTCCAATTAGTAAACAGTAATAAGAGTGTTTTCCTAGCCAGTTTTTATTGAGGCCCACCAACAAGACTTTGTGGTTTTGCTGCTCCTGTATTTTCCTTTAGCAGTTATTTTTGATGGCGAGCAGCAACATGGAGCAATTTCCGCCTCTCTGGCTTCTAACACTTGAACATAAAAGGAGAGAAAAAGTCAGAACTATCATCTTTCGAGGAATCCCCACTGACTATGATAGATTCTGGTTCGCTATTTGGAAGTATCCCTGCCTAATTTGGGCACCCATGGGTGTGATTCAATACCTTGGCTGACCTCATTTTAAAGGACCCCTTCTTTTACTGCCCTGGAGGTAACTCTAAGAAAACACTGCACTGAAACTACAAAAAGCAACTAAAAGGGCAGTCATCGCTCTCACACATTGTTCCAGTGTCCTGAAGGTTCAATAGCAGTTCACCGCCTGCTGTCCACAGATCCGGTGTTAAATAAGGCATTATAATCTCACCCTGGGCCTTTACAGAGCCTCTTACACTACCCTAAAACTCCTTGACTGCCCTCCCCCAATCCCCAATCCCTACCCTTTAAGTGAGGCCAGTAAAATACATGGCCATTTTGGACAATAATCAGTTGTTTTAATCATGCATATTAGTCCTCCAGTAACTTTAAACATCATGTAATCCCCCAAAAGAGGCTGTGAGAGAAAACGGCACTCATGCCTAATTTTACCCCAGTGGTTTTAGTCGGCACCTGGTCTAATTCAAACTTTACGTGGCCCCAACACATCTGAAAACAATGTTGTGGCCTGTAGGGAGCAACTACAGTGACAAATGAGCCCAGAAAGGCCTGCTGCTCTGTGACTGTCGCTGGAGTTAAAGTGGCTTTTTCAAAGTTTTAATGTGTTGTAGTGCTTGTGTGTGGTTTTGGACTATGCCCCAAAAGTGAATTCAGACTCTCCATTTTTCTTTTCCTTGACCTTTTATGAAGAACATAGTGTTAATTGTCCATAAATGGTTTTGGTGTGTGTGCTTGTGAAGGCACAGAAATGCACTGATCCTTCCTCTAATTTAATGTAAGTGATGCGTCAGTTAGAGTGTAACTGAAAAGTTGCAGAAGTGAGCATGGAACTCTGAATACATCCTTATTTTCTGCTTTCCTGCATTTCATTTTATTGTCTTCTTTGTCATGTAAATGACAGCAGTGGACATTAGTGCTTCTCTCTGATGTCATCCTCTGATACATAGTCTCTCCCTCTCCCCAGGCTCTCCAGAGGTTGATGTATTGTCTGTAAGTGATGTAACTGGCATTATCTCCCATACCAGGGCATACCCAGGAGTCTCAGACCAGGAAACAGGTTGTCTGTGGGCACAAATCACGCATGCATGTGCACACATACATACAAACATACACACACATAGACACACACACACAGAGATCTACAAATGTAAATACACAGTTACTAGAGAGTAAACACAGTAACATACTTTCAGGTATGTTAAAGTTTAATAAACGAAAAATAACAGGACTTTAGCTAACATTGTTAGCTTTATGCTAACAATTGGTTAAATGAACTTGAATAAGGTGAAACTCGGGCTGTTAAGTGTCTTTCATTTCATTGTTTTGGTTTTCAAACACCCACAACTTTTGAATCACTCTCACAGCTGTCATTGGTGTTGCTTTCAACAATAGGCATCTGTTTTCAGAAAGAAACGGTGTTAGGTATTTTCTTAGTTAGATAGATATTCAGAGATTTGGTGTCTAGAAATGTTTAGTGGAGACAGGATGTCTAGCTCAGGCTGTTAACTGCTCAGTTTAATTTCATGTGCTTGCAAACTGCATTTAGGCCAAGGTTGCAGGCAAAGAGCTGTTAGTATTAACTGTAATGCTAATCTTAATATTTGTCTTAATGTGTAATGTCATGTCAAATTGTTCTAGATACACACCACAAAAACACCAGCCACACACTTTGACTTTTCCTCATGTTTTGGCTAACGTTATAGTCAGCTGCAAGCTGGCATATCAGGTGACGTCACGGTTTGACGGCCTGTGTAGGATGGGGCTAGCCCAGAAGGATTTATATTGTATAGGTTTCTTGGTCCAGGGTCTTGCTTCTTCCGGGCTGCCTGCGAGCAGTTTTGGGGGTAGAAGATGCCTGGACGTGTAATGTTAATTCCACATGTAGCAGTTAAAGTACCTGATATTTTCCTGACGAGTTGGTGGAGACCAAAACAGAACAAAAAGGAGAGTAAACATAATCAGTAGTTCAAATTGGTGCTAATGCAGCTATTTGATAACATGTTAGCTATATAAAATTTATTAGGTGTTTGTTAGGTGTTTTACATGAATATTTGATTCAACTGGTTACCATGAATTTGTAAAGGTATATACAAATAGATAAAGATTTGTTCTGAGGGGTAACAACCCAAAAAACCTTAAGACTAAGATGCTAAAACGGCCTGTAGAGCTGAAGGGAGTCAGAGGTTAATCCTGCACGGGTTTTTCACTACAAGCTATCCACTTCACTTTAGACACAGTCATTTGTTTCATTGTTAATGGAAGAAATATTGATTTGTTCAACTAGAATTATAATTTTTACCTGATTAAAGAAATATTACAGCTGTACGACATTAAAAAAAGTGACAGGTAGTGGACAAACTTCTGACTAGTCTGATAATTCCAAGGAAAATATTTTACCTTCCACTGTGAAGGCTCTTCTGTTAGATTGTTTTCTGTTGCAGTCCTTAATGCAGGCATAAACCAAAATATTCCTTTGCAGCGTTGATGATTTTGATAAAACTACTAAGGCAATATTAAGTTTGTATGACATAATTCATTTTTCTATTGGGACTTGCACCACTCAGAGGGGCACATGGTTCCTTTCCAACATTGGGTCTTCATTGACCAGGTCATTCAGCAGGGCGCATACATACACAACCTCCCATAAGGACAAGTACATACTCTGGCATAACTGTTTGTCTTTTTGTTTGTGATAAATATGTAAAAATTTTTAACTCAAAGTCAGCTTTAAGGAAATGTAAATTCTGTGCCTGTGTGTAGATTTAATGAGAGCTGCAGTACACAGCTATGGTGCTTCAGGGCTGGGATGGCTTGTTTTGTTTTCTTGTTGTTGTTGTTTTTTTACTTTGAACTCTAATTTACACCACTGTGAAGACTCATGGGGGATTTACAGATTCACTGTGTGTGAATCTCTGTAATTTCAGAGTCGGAGGGTACATAAACACCGAGAGCCAGTCGTTTTTGAAAAGTTTTCCCTTTCACAACATCTTTGATCCATTTTTATATTTTACCAAGTTCAAGCGCTGAAGTGCTTTCAGAGGAAATGGAAATCAAACAGAATAATCTCCCACCTAAATGTCTATCAAACAATATTACATTACCTTTGAGATGAAAAATCTTAGTCATTCAACCACTGCTATGAATAGTAAACACAACAGAGAAGAAAACTCACATTACAGCTTTGAAAAATACTGGGCCTCAGGGACAATAGACCTGTCAAAAGTCAAAGTCCTATTCATTTTCTGCAAATACAGTGTTTGCAGTTTGAGCAGTATGGTCAGGTCCGCTCTGTGCAACCTGCCTCTCTTTCTTTTCCGCTCTCTTGCTTTTCTTTTTTTTTGGAGGGGATCTGCGTCTCAGCTGTGCCGCCTTGGTAATTAGTGACTCGTGGTTTTGATCACACAGCTGAGACGCGTTAGTTCATTAGTTCTTTTCTTATTTAAACCTAAGGCAGACGCTCCGTCGTCGTCGGAGCATTATGAAGAGTCAACTATACTAATGACATGAGTTTTTTTTTGTTTTGTTATACGTACGTTTACTTTCACGCTGACAGTTCCTGTGCGATTGATTGTTCTCGTACCATGGGTTTTGCCACAAGGTATGTGAGTTATGCAACGCTGACAGTTCCTGTGCGTTGCCAATATACGTACGTGGAGTTCTTTTTGTTTGTATCTGACAGTGATCTTCCCAGCCATGGGTACCTGACAGCTAGCGCTACACCTGCCATACCTGGAGTTCTTCGTTTTCTGCTACTCCTCTGCCGTCCTTTGGTCTTTTTCTCTGCTCGTCCTGGTCTCCTCAACCATCTCCACCTTGCCCCTGGTTCAGTATTATTCATTGACTCTCTTATGATGTTACTTTGTGTTCTTTTTCCAGTAAACCTCCATTTTTCCACTAGCACCTGGGTCAGCACACTTGAGTCCAACCCCAGCTCTCCCTCACCCTCCTGGTGAGGGGGACTCAACCATAACAAGTATCAAGTCTTGAAAGTGAAAATAAGCCTCATTGACAAACTGTGCTTTATCGTTTAATTTAATTTAGAGGACTTGAGAAGTTTCTATGCTAAGAAACACTGAGGATATTTAAAGCAGCTTTGAAATAGTTTAAATTTGGCTTTCCACTTTGTAACTGTGTTGCCAAGCTTTCCTAGTTTCTCTTCACATTGTCAAATCATTAAATGCCTATTTTAAGTAGCTGTAGCATAGCAGTGTATTTTTTTTATTCAGCCATGGAAATAAAATTACTACACCTCCTTGTTTGCCCACAGACTTAAATTTCAAGCCCACCTGTAAAGTGTAAAATGGAACACAGCCAAATTTTAGCCACATTTCTAGAGGTTGACATTGCTTTATTGTATGCTTTACCTGAAATGAACATTACATTTGCATTCATCAGTGGAGCTGAAGCTTTGATGCCATTTTATTGGGCTTATGTCTACATTAATTAATGCTTTCTTATCAAAACCATGCAAAATTATGAAGGTAAATCCACTATAAATTATTAATGGATATATTACTTTTCTTGGTCAGAAACAACTAAGTTTTTTTTTGTGGCAGTAAAGCCCTGCCAAAAATTTTCACCTTTACAACTATGCTTTTGTAGACCTTTAATTGTTCCCCTGCTGTAGCTGGAGCCTACAGTTGGCTTTGCCATTCAATAATAATGAGATACTAGGGCCAAACCTGTGGTCAGCTTCACCACCACTCGTGAGTGACCCAGTGACATGAAAGTCAGTCCCGGGTAGTTCAGTCTAGCATGGCGGTGAATCAGTGAAGCATGTTGTGATGGCCAGATTGTTTTGTAAATCAGTGATCACACTGTGAGAGTAACACATTAGATGCCAAATATGATTCAATATATTACAGCCAAATGTTAAAATTTACAAATGTATTGATTTGAAATTTTATGGCCATCCAGTTTTCATGAGTGTGGGCTGGAACAATCCATTCCTGGTCTTTGAGTCAATATATTATATCACCCAGCTACAGTGTGTAGCCAACTTGGATGAGGACTCCATTGGATGAGCATAAATAAGAAATTAACTTTCCCTTTTCCAGTGCAACTGGTCAGTGACAGGTCAGGTGTAAATTTTGGAGACATGCAACACTCCAAAAGACAAGGATAATGGTTAAAAACAACAGAAATGATACACTCCAGAAACATTGTCACCAAGTACTGAAAAAAGCTATTTTTTCTATGCCACTTTTGTCATTGATTAAACTAAAGTACAGCATTTAATAAATCTTTCCGTATCCAATTTTATGGAATCAACATGGTAACTGTGACCATTTGTGTTGAAAATGGATGTTAAATGAGCTTGCGTTCATGGTATTTGGCCATTAGCAATTACGTTTTTCAGTAAAACTCACTTGTAATTACCAGTGTGTCAAGGTGTAAAACATAAAGCAGACATTCTGTTTTCTTGTTGCTGGCTTTCCTGTGTTGTTGGCTTGACTTGTGTGGGAAAGTTTGTGCATTAATTTATTTCTACATATACCAGAAAGGGAGTGTAGAAATATAAAAGAAGTGACATTTATGAAAGGAGTAATCAACCTCATTTGACTCTCAACCCCTGAAAATACACAGATGTATGCTCACAGTCCCTGCTAAAGTGTGAAACAGGAGAATGGTAAACTCGGACACATTTTAGACAATGGAACCCATGAATTCCACAAGTTTACTTGAGTTCAGAGATGAGCCTTGGAATATACAGTGAGGAACAGAAGTATTTGAACACCCTGCAATTTTGCAAGTTCTCCCACTTAGAAATCATGGAGGGGTCTGAAATTCACATTGTAGGTTCATTCCCACTCTGAGAGACAGAATAAAAAAGATTTTCAGGAAATCACATTGTATGATTTTTAAAGAATTTATTTGTCTTGCACTGCTGAACATAAGTATTTGAACACCTGAGAAAATCAGTGTTACAGTTTTTCTCTATCGCTTTCATTCATTTCTCACAACAGAATTAAAGTTTGCAGATCTCCAAGTGCATTTTTCAAAACAACACGTACAAACTGCACAACATAGTGGATAACCGGAAAAATCGTGTCACCTGCTCAAAATGTTTTGTCTATCGTGCAAAAGTGTGTTTTTTCATCAATCATTGTGTCAGAGGCAGCAGAATCCCATATTATTTCCTCAACAATGTGAAAGTGACAGGCAAAATTATTAGTCATGTTGTCAGTAGAACATCATACTCAGTTTTTGTTATTTACTGTAAACTATACTCAACTCAGGTTTTGATGACTAGAAACCACTAAATTACCGTACTGGTGTGTGTCATAATTTACAGTGTCCCTC